ACTACTGTCAGAATAAAGTGAAATATTGAAAAACTTACTTATAATGACTTTTTTTCCTGTCACATTGGCAGAAATGGGCTTCCATATTATACACTAATGAAAACAACTGCCAAAAGATCCTCTTTACATTTTACACACTATGAATGCAGGACTTTTACTCATATAAAGTATTTTTACTTAAATGTATATGCTATGTGTTTTACAAAGTAAAAGATCTGAATACTTCCACCACTGCATGTAGCAGTCGTTCCTGGATACAGACGTCTTTTCTTAAAGACAGCAGGTTGAGATCACTGTACTGCACCTCTTCCTCCTCCAGTACTCTAAATATAGAGACAGTCCGCTAGGGTAGGGTTAGTAAACACACACATCCAAAAGAAAAGAACAGTAAATTGTAGAGTTAAATCAAGTTTCCCTTTTGTATTTCTTGTTCAACATATTTTTATTTATTAATGCTGACAGACAGGTATTGGTTCAGACAAACATGGTGGCATCAACTAAAGAACAGAACCAGGCAGAGAAGGAAATCTGTTTCAGACCCAAGACACACTCAAAGGTCATCTTACACACTGTCAGATTGTCCTGCTCACACTGTTTGGCACCCCTACGTAGACATCTCAATGTATTTGAAGAAGCTAAGCAAAGGGCTAATATAAAAAACTGAAATCGCTCCAAAATGCCATGAAATTTGGGTAGTGGATTGTAATAGAACAAAGCAGATGGAAAATCCCCCCCCCAAAAAAAAAAATTTAAAAAAGTGCTTTTGCATTTTTAACCTTTCCTGTTATTTTTCCAGTTTCTTAAAAGTTGGTTTGTGAACACAAGCTTATACTTAATCTACGTAACAGGCGTCTGTTCTATTACTTCTATCTGCTCTGGATGTTAAGTGTTTAATGACCAGTTACCTCTGGTTACAGGACAGAATTTGACAGTCGTCCAGTCAGGTTTCCACCCTGAGCATCGTAAATAGTTATCGCATCAAGAAAGCCAAAAGTCAAGGTCAAACTAGGCCTGCAAGCAAGAAAAACTAGGTCCTTGGTAGGGCTGCAACTAATTAATTCCTGTCATTGTTGATTAATCCGTCAATCATTTTCTCCATTAATCGATTAGTTGTTTTGACAATGAAATGGTGAAAAACGTTGATCACTGCTTCCCCAAGGTGACATCCTCAAATTTCTTGTTTTAGAAAGATATTCAGCTTACTGTCATAGAGGGCTAAAGAAACCAAAGAATTTGCTAATTTTCTTGTAAAAATTAATCAGAACAATTAATTGATTGTCAAAATAGATGTCAACTAATGTAGTAGTTGACAACTAATCAATTAATTGACTAGTGTTGCAGCTCTAGTCGTTGGACATAGAGAATCGTGTCGTCTGCATATACCAAAACTTTTCTCAATAAATCAGTTTTGTCAAAGATTGCTTAAAGGGGACCTGTGTGGAGTTACTCCCCAAAACATACTGTGTGTGGCCTTAAAGGTCTCTCAACTACAATTACTATTAACCCTTAAGCAAGGCACTAAACCCTCTCACCTGCTCCAGCAGAGCTGCTCAGAGGCTACCAGGGGTTTTTAAAGGTCATCTCCCAGAATGTGAAGCAGGGGGAAAGAGTGGAGTTGGATTACTATTTAAAATATGGGTAGTAATGACCAAACACTGAAAAATGTCCTGGTGAAAGGAATCGATCTGTCTACAATCTGTAAAGTTAAATGCTGTTGTGCTACAATCTGTCAGCCAAAATGGCAGTCTGTCTGTACTGTACTGTACTCAGTGGCAAACACTCCTTAAACACATATTTTGTTTTAAATGTGATGGGCAGACATGAGGGGTAACAAGTGTGATAGTCAGCTACAGCTAGCGCACATCTGAAGGCTTTGTAAAGGCAAAAGCAGCATGTTAACTAATAGTCTTAACAAGGCAAAGTGATCACTCACTGTGGTAAGATAAGCTGCAGTAGGTCATTTTTTATATAATTCTTTTTGTCATATTTGCTGAAACTTTCACTATATCCTGACAGTAGTACACAATACAGATAATCTGTGAAAAAATCTGATTCCTCTGGTTCCTCATAGTGCTCCTAGTGGCATTCACAAGAATCCACCGGGCCTGAACAAAAACAACCAATCAGCATAGAAAGAGAGTTGCTTGTTTTTTCTCATACAGATGCTTTGGGACCCTGGGAATGAGACACAACAATCAACTATCTTCAAGCCTCCAACCCAAGTGTTTTTCTATCTTTCTCAGCTCTGATTGGTTGTTTTCGTCCAGGCCTGGAGGATTCTTGAAAATACCATTGTGAGTGGTAGGAGAAGCCAGAGGAACCTGATTTTTTAAAGATTATCTGTCTCACGTACTACTGTTAAAACACATTAAAAAATGTCAGCAATAATGACAAAACTTTTTTTTTATTTTTTTTTATTAACATTACCTACTGCAGCTTTAAACCAAAAGTGACCAGCAGGACTTTGATTTGTTGATAAAACAGCATTTGTACAGCTCACATTGGTTTGACATAGAGATGAAACTGTAATAAAAATACTTAAGAAATTAAAACACTCAAAAGAGTTGCTTATGGCTGATTTTCATTCCTTTAAAAATCTCAAAGACCCTTGTTCCTGTCCAATTGGAACATAATGTAAATATACTGCAAGTTCTGGACAAAGACTTGGTGTCTTTAAAAAATGATCTTACATGAAAACATCAACCGTATACTGTGAGTGTGGTGTCACTCCCCTTTGTCCAATTCAAATATGCTTATATCATGATATATAATTAATCCATCATTCAAACTGTTGCTTTAACAACATGACATATTTCACCATATATCTAGAATGGAGAGTGAGACAGAGCAGAAAACAAAAACATGACCTTTGTCTGTTGGTTAAAGTTTCTCATACTACTGTTTGTGGCTAACAGCTATTAAGTTGAGCAGCGCACAAACTTTGTTCCCATGAGTCACTGAAAATTGAATACAAATGATTTCCTGTAGGTCGGAGGTCAAAGGATGCCTCAGGGGGTCTTGTCATTTGTGTAGGTGTGAAGTATACGGGGACAGATTGTTCAGCGCAAAACAAGTTGAGAACAAATACCTTATTTTAAAAGGCATTAAAACACTGAACCAGAAGAAGTTGGTGTTTTGGAGCTGCTCGGTCGCACTGTGTGCCACTGTGACACGCCTTCTACTAACAACAATTATCAATTTATGCTACATTAGGTATTAATTTTCACGACATATTTGTGGAACGTATTCCGTGTTTGCAAGATGGCAAAGAAGAAAATAATTTATATTAACATGACTATGGGTCTACAGCCACACCAGTGGCTCTATTAAGGCTGCACTTAGGCAATTCTTTAAATTAAATGCTAATGTTAACATGCTAACATGCTCACAAAGACAATGTAAGCATGCTGATTGGAAGAAGTACAATGTTTTAGCCTATCATATTCATTATTTTACTTTAGCTTGTTAGCATGTTAACATTTGCTAATTAGCACTAAATTAACAATTTACAAAGTTTAGACGAGGCTAATGGGAATATCATTAGTGGTGCTAGAGGATAATTCATCCTGAGGGGTGCATGAATGTCTGTACCAAACTTCATAGCAACACTTGAGAAGGGACAAATTTGAGCTGCGAGAGTGTGACTAAAATCAAAAATGGCTGCTTGATAGAACCGTTCTGTGATTCAGTGTTTTCAATTAATGCAACCTTATAAGAGCTTGCCAGCAAGCTGTATGATCTCAATAAGCATGCACATGAACTCGTAATAATCACCACGGTGAAATGACAACATTAGAGCAGCAAATTACACAGTTAGCCCGTTTTAAACTTTGTATAAGTAACTGGTGTGTGAACACTGTCCTAGTGAGCACCATTTTTCCATCCACATGCAAATATGAACCTCATATTTGGAATATCAAACAGTCATCATGAACCACTGGATAATAGTCAAATCAGAAATATACAATCATATTGTATAAACAGAGACTGTACTGTAACTACAGTGACACAGGGTCTTAAAAGGGAATGGACAAATGTCTTCCTTTGTTATTTCCAAAGTAAGATAATTCTGTATTAGCCAATTTGCAAAGTCTTGGAGTAGTAAGCTGCAGTGGGTACATTTTCTATAAAATAACTTTTTGTCATGTTTATGGACCTTAATAAAAACAACCAATCACAGCAGAGAAAGATAGTTGATTGTTGAGTTTCATTCCCATCTACTCAAATACAGACAAGCTACCAACCAAGAGTGTTGGTATTTGATGCCCTGGTAAGCTTTACATCTTTCTCAGCTCTGAATGGTTGTTTTCATTCAGGCCCGGTGGATTCTTACAAATACCATTACTGTCAGGATATAATGAAAGTTTCAGCAAATATGACAAAAAGTTATTTTTATAAAAGTTACCCAATGCAGCTTTAACGGACAATCTACAGTAAGTCACTGATATTCCCTGCCCTAGTAAAATATATTTTCAACATTTTAACCAAACAGGACTTATTTTTTGACAAGAAATAACATTTCTTTGGTTACTTTTAACAATTTTCTTTCTGCTTAATATTTTAAAAATGCTTGTGATTTACCCAAATGATCTGACCAAAGAATAAACTTGTTGGGAAAAGATAAACCTGATGCACCTCCAGTGGTTTCTAAAATGATCTGACCTTTAAAGACCACAGCAACATTTCTGTATTCAACCCATTTTTGGACGATGTCATGTATCACTAACTTAAGTTCATATTCTAAACGCATAATACTGGCACTGGGACTTTCTACTCTTCTCCTAATGCAAGAGATGTGGAGTGTGTTTACATGCACACGGTTTTTTGAATAACACTGTAGCTCATATCCATGTGAATGTCTAGTTCCACAAACATCTCACAGAGGCAAAACTATCCTGGTAGTATATTGGCAAGGCTTCATTAGCTGATTAGAAAAGACAAATACTGATCAAAATATCAATAAAAATAGAACTGGCAAGGACTAATATCATTCATTGTGTACACTTTAAGGAAGTCAGTAGGCTAAATTAGCATACATAGCAACAGGACCCTAACCCATCAGAAAGGCTAACCAGCTTACCTAGCTCACCAGCTATTAGAGCCTGACTGAGCAAAGTTGAATTCTATAAGCAACTGGGAAGCTCATTTAGAAATTGAACCACTCTTGAATACACAGTACTGATATTGAAATACCACTGAATCATTACATTAAAATATTGTACTTTAAGTAAGAGTTTAAACCACATAAAGTCAGAGGGATAGTAAAAAATGAGGAATTCCAATGCTATAAATTCTGTGATATTCAAATGTCAATAATATATATTCAATAGTAGTTAAGTTTTGCAGTTTTACAATTAGGTATACAGTTGCTCATTTAAAAAAATTGAAATTATTATGACCTTTCTTTTCTTCTGTAGTAGCCAGTATTATCGGTCAAAGAGGAAATGGTTCTGAAGTTCCAAAAATAAAAACTGAGATAATTTGGAAACACTGTTAACATTAACTAGTTTGTCCACCAGAAAACACTGACTATTTATTTTCCAACTAAATGCTTAGTACATGTCTTGGTCATAATTCTTTATTAATCAAATTTAAGCATCCTTAAAAAGTCCAGTGTTTAGTAACTCTTTAATTAAATAACTGCCTTAAAAATCCAGTATTGGTCACACATTTTTGGCACTTATGCTTATGCTTACTTCAAATAATGAGATTTTTTCTTGAGCAGTTCTGCCTCCAAAAAATGTTTGAACAACTGACACTACAAGTGCACCTCAAGAGATCCTGTTGTACATATAAGCAGTTTCTGAATACAGGAATTAACTGAATATTTTCAGTTCCCCATGTAGCCTGAGCTTACAAAATGATGCAGTGAGGGCAAGTGGAAGCTGTACACAAAATAGCCTCAGAATATCAGCATATTCTGGTGTTTGGTGACCCTGGATAAGAGGAGATTTCTGAAAACCCTGCACCAACTCAAGAATATAGCACATGATTATCCTGAATAACAGGATAGTTGGTGTGCATGTAAACCCACAGATACTGTAGTAGACACCAACAAATATACACCATTAGAAGCTCTATAAGCACATTAGACTATTCACACCCTGTTTGCCATTGATGTTGATAGAAAAGAGATGAAACAGGCTGAGTCTGGACTACTGAACTAGTTCACCCTCCACTCACTGCACTGCCTTACTCTCGGATATTAGACCACTTAATTCCTTAAGCCATTTAAACACTTTTAAATACATGTATAGAATATATACAAACAGTATGCCACCACACTTCTGCCTGATTCCTTCCATCGCTTGCAGAGAGTTAGGCTAGAAAAGAGAAACCAAAGGCTGGGGTGGGCGTTTTTGTTTTTTTCAGTTTTTGTCACTGATCTGAAATTTGTCGTCCATCTTGTTTTACAGTTTTTATTACTTTACTATCAGCAGGTGGTGGTTGTTTCCTTTACAGAGTTATTTTTTGTTGTGTGTTACTACCAGGTTCCACTTCAGAATTTGTGTTGAGTCTTGAGGTGAAAAAAATTAGGTGGCCATTTCTCCTTTGCGGTTTTTGATTCGAATGCTATACAACAGAAAGCACGTTAGTCCTCTTCACAAGAATCCAGTCCAGTCACAAACAAAACAAAAGAGGAATGGTTCCGCAACCACCTAGTTCAAAAGTAGTACAACGGCAATCAAATTACCTTTGTCCTTTCTCGTTTGTTCTGTTTAATTCTGCATTTATGCCCTCTGTCACTCTATAAAGCACTTTGTGACGAGCCTGTTTAATAAAAGCGCCTTTTCAAAATAAAATTGAATCAATAGTAGAATCCCGGTAGGATACCGCTGTTGACAAGAGGAGAAGCCAAAACAGATCATCCACAAATAAAGTACAGGTTGTTGAATGTGATTTCTGTGTTGATTGCCAAGCCGGTTGCCAGGAAGACACACAAGGAGGATTCTGGGTATTACAGAAGGTGCATTCTGGGATTGGTTATTGTCTGACAGAGCTCTAAGCCATTGGCAGATGTCAGATGTGAGGTTGCTTCTTTCCTTGTTGTATGTCGCCCTCCTCCTCCTCTCTTTTACAATTGTCATCCCTGTTTATTCTTTTTTTTTTACTACCTGTCCGTGCAGTAAATGGTTGATTGGAATAAAATACAGTCCAGGTCAGAATGAAGGCAGAGCTCCTCCTTTCAGTCACAGACAGGAGGTAGGACGTAGCAGCAATCTAGGAGGGTTTGGGGGTCTTCAGGGCATCCACTTTTGTCTCCAGGTCTGTAATCTGTGGAAACAACAACACAGTGCAACTAAATACATTTAAACTACGCTATAATGCGATCAGTTATTTCAACTCAAAAAAACGTGTTGAAAGGAATTATATACAATTTTTAAGTAACTCAGTTTTAGTTACAGAAACATTCCTGATTAAGCACTGATTACTAGGTATTTTGTTTTCACAGTACAAATTAAAATTACAAAATTAAGTCAGCGTCACTTTAAATTAGCAAAGCTACTTTATCAAGACTTAAATTGACTTATTTTGTTTTACAATGATAGGCTATTTTTATTGCGCACTGCACATATTGCAGTTGAGTGTGCAGTGCACAGTCCATCGGGCGTCAGGTTTGGTAATTTCATGGCTAAGCTCGCCTGGTGCACCCAGGGTGTACTTGGGTGTACACGTTATAGGTGGGTGTATACAGACTTGATAGGCTTTTTTTTTTTACTAATTCAGTGTTTTCTTTTACCTCTGTTGGCTGTTGTTCTATTAGACAATTTACTTTACATTTACTGTTCTTCACAGAAGTGAATTCACTGCTTTTAGGATGAAAATGATCTGACAATACAAACACACTTCTACCTGCATTAAAAATACACTTTTGCCAGCCAGAAACAGCCACTGTTGTAGCCCCAGTGACAGAGTTTTGGAAATAGACACTGGGGGAGGACTGGCAGGAACAGACAGTCCTCATGGAGCTATTAGAGAGAGAAGTTCTACTTGACCTACGATTTGTCATGGAACTGTATGAACTGTTTTCAAGTCTCCAACACGCCTGAGGATTTGCAATGTGTAAAAATATTTGCAATGTATAAAAATAAGAGGACAGAGGATGGAGCCTTGGGGAACACCACAGTCAACAGGGCCCACGAAGATGGAGCATCACCAGCGACTACTGATTCTGTTGACAAATATGATTTAAATCAGTCTAATGCAGTATCCCAGATGCTAACCCATTTTTCAATGCGATCCAGTATCAATTGCTGAACTAAGATAATGTAGAATTAAAACAGAACAATCAACAGCATTAGCTGTTAGCAAAGGCTCATTTGATTGCTTATATATATATAT